GGATACTTCTGACTGTTCAAGCCCAAAAAAGGATCCTCATTCATCTTCCTCTTTGAGGTCTTTGCGCACTCAGCATCACTGTGCACAGTATCCTCCATCTAAGCAAGGATGCATGTAAATGCAAGAAAAAAATGTCACCTTAAAAGAGGTTTGAATCTCATTGTTGGGAAAATTTTAAGAAGCTAAACAGAATGGGGAAGAGATATACTTTCTTTTTTTTCATCTGTCCTCATGAACAAAAGCTTTGATTTTCATGTCAGAGCTATTGGAAGGGTCACAACCAATAACTCATTTTCTGTTTTTTTAAAATCTTTGTAGACAAGAGGCTGAAATGCATCAGCAGAAACTTTGAAAAATTTTAAAAATTAAAACTGACTCACCAGGATTGGAGTCAAGGATTGAAACAAAAGTAAGAAAAACTAAAATTTTAAGACAAAAAATACAGGTTAGACTACTGAGATATGAGAATGAAAGACGGAGAGAAGCTGGCAAGCCTGTGGTCTGTCCCGTACAGAAATTCTCTGCTCTGCAAAACCCACGTGTTGCAGGATGCCAGGTAAATGAACTGCCACGGGTTAATGGCACAGTCCACGTGCATCTCAAATGAATGCACACCTCAGCTCACACGTGGGGCAGCCAGGGGCACTTTGGTGAAGGGATGGAAAGGACAATGTTTCCTCTACCCTGAAGGCAGCCCAGCCCCCAGGGCACTGAAGAGGCTCCTGCCATTTTTCTGGCAATACAGCATCGATGTCAAACTGAGGATCTCGCTCTGCCTTTGCTGAACACTGACCCCTCTGCACCACCCCTCTATACTAATGCTCCTCTCAGAGCACAGCAGACACCACAGGGCAGCGAGAGCCCTCATCCCCTTACACCTGTGTTTCAAGGGAAGGAAATGGGGCAGAAAAGACAGGAAAAGTGAAATTTCTTCACGTGGTTTACGGCTGGATTTACTGCAGAAGGGAGAAGGTCGTCTGGAGGCCCCAGCAGGTGGGATTCAGTTTTCTTGAAGTCTCTACAAATTTAGCCACCCAAACACTGACAGCTGCTTCCCTCCTTTCTCAAGGACAAACTCAGCACTGTGTCACTCTCAAGTTGGGAGCCTTGATCTTGCTGAAGGTGTGGATGGATGAAACTACCCAAAGCACCAACAAAGACATAGCAATGGAGGCTTGATGCATGAAGCAGAACAGACAACTAAAGAATAACCCCAGAATGGTATTTTATATGGTATTTTTTTTCAGGAACAAATGGCATTTTTCCCTCCAGTAACTTGACAGAAGTGAGGATGCTCAGCTGTTCCCTGCACTAGGAAACATGGGAAGGGATTTTAACAAGTCTTCAGTGCCTCCCTGTTCCCACTGACAGCAGCAGGCATTCAAGAATGTTAATGGAGCATCTTTACAAAGCCAATGATGAGCTCTTTTGGCAAAAATCCCCAGAATAAAGGTACTGGTGTCTGTTTTTCTGGTATTTTGAATGGAGTGGAGATGCATTTGCTTAGTTATTGCTTCTGAAGCTTTCCAAAAATCAAAGGGTGATAACAAACTGGAGCTTCTGTCCAGCATAAAGGCAAAGATAAGCCAAGCATATTGTGTGCTGAGAACAAACAGCAACCCACGAGCTCCAGGTACACATGGAATAACTACAAAGTACTGAAGCAAAAAGACCAAGAGGCCTGGCATCAGGATGTCAGACTTTGAAGACTAAGCTTATTTTAAGTACAGGCAGACACAGACTGTTCATTTTTCATGCAGGGATGTTTTCAATGAAAAATCAGCCTTTTTTCACCCCCTCCTCGTCTCTACCCCTCAAACCTATCAAGATCACTGCTGTTCTATTTTTCATGAAGTTTTCTGCTGTGCTATACTTGTGCATGCACCTGAAATACACAATCCTCTGCTGGTATCTGGGTCAGCCACACTGAGAAGGGGAATCCCATTATTGTCTCTGGTTGTTTTTGAAATGAATGAATTTGTACAGACAGCTCAGGTTTGGATTCAAAGGCTTATATTTCCATGACAAGCTGCCGCCACCCGCGTGCCAAAGCACTATGAGCCTTTCATCCCAACCAGCACAGAAGCAGGGGGATGACATCCCCCAGGATATTTGGGAGCCCAGGGCACTGCCTTATCATCATCACTGCTGCTGCTGCCTTTGATAGAGATGGAGCAGTGGGGGTATTTATCATTTATTGGTTTTACCCAAAGGGATACACTAGGCACCATCAGATCTGCTTTGCAGGCTGAGAAACAAGCAAACACCACGAACTGGGAAAGCTGCAAAACCTACAGAACTCAGTCTTTCCCTTCTTCTGCCTCAGCTCTGGGTGAAGCCTAAAGCAAGCAAACACCAGTTCTGTCTCAAAACCAAGAAAGAGCGCTGTCAAAGTCTGTCTCTCTGATCTGTGCTACTCTTCAGTCACGAAGGAGCACCAACTAGGAGGAACGCTTCTGCCTCACACCACAAAGACAGTCAATACTGAAGGAATTAAATGGAAAAGAAATTTAGGAGCACATTAGAGCAGAGTTACAGAGCTGCTGTCTGACCTGAAACCACAGCATGAACTAAGTCTGGCCAAATGCCTCAGCCTGACTTAATACTGTGACTCAGGGCACAACTGTGAATCCTCTTCTGCTACACGTCAATGCATTCATTAATTGAACTATCAGCTGTTGTGGAAAACAGGAAAGTTCTAAACAATACTGAGATCTCAGAACCTTTGGTTCCTATCTTCATGAATTGCAAGTGCATTTTAAATCTACAGTTCTCAGTGAGTTTATGGAATCCTCAGTGTCAAATACCCTTTAAACAGTAAAGGTGCTGGTACAAGTGCACACATTAAAAATTTGTCTAAATTAAATGTTTATGCTGAACTAGTTTAGCAACATTAAATATTCTTAATTTAAAGTGACTGCAACTCAGCTTCTCTCTGTAAATTAAGCTGTATGAAAACAAAGCATGCTAAGTCTTAATAAATATGCAGTAAAGTGGTATCTTGCAATAGAGTTAAAAGCCAATTCTCAGTTGATAGTCAATGCCTCTTATTTGCTGTTAAAACTTTCTAGTGCTGTTATGGAGGCCCATTTCAATTAGCTACAACTCAGTCTCAGAAAGAGAATGAAACAGGACGGTAAAGGCACAGTTTCTTGAATCCTTATTTTCCTCACCTACCTATACCTTTGGGAATGCAATCAGCTGCAGTCTGGGTAATCTCCTTCCAAATTCACATCTTCTACCTGCACAGAAACTCCTTCCTGGGGGTGTCACTGCAGATGCTTTGTGCTCAGCCCCATGAGGATACCAGGCTCCAGGCATCCTGTCCCTGGGACACACATTCTGGGAAGATGCTGTGGGATGCAGGTGGCATCAAGGACCACCATGACCTGAGGCTACACTGGAAGAATGAGCTTGGACTGGGAGATGCATTTTGGCTGTAGGGCCCAGCCCCTTCCTGGCACATGGCAGTTTACTTGAGATGTTCATCCCCGGCATATGCACATATACCTGATACACAGAAAAGGAAGAATCTACAACTTCTTGGAAAGAACCAACAGTGATTTTCTCTACTTCAAAACATGGCAATTGCCCATCTGGGGCCTGATCCCTCACTGTGTATTATTTCAGTGGGACATGAACCCAGCTCTGCACATGTCCATTTGCAGGCCAAAACCCAGAGTCATATGATCTTTATAATGCTGAGAAAAGTAATGTAACTTAAAACTTTTTAAGCTTAGGGATTTATAGCTCCAGAACTGTAGGAAAGAGAGGGCATTTCTGCAAGATAATAAATTCCATTTTTTTCTTTTCCCCCATTTTAAAACATCTTCATGTATTCATGTCAAAACATCCAGAGATATTTTTGGTGTTAAGAAGGGCTGTGGAACAAAGTTGCTCTCCTCCATCAGCAGGAAAAAGATTACTTTTTTCCTCATTATTCTGGGCCACAATTATCAACAAAATATTTCATTACAGAATAAAAAAAAAAAAAAAGAAAAAAAGAAAAAAAGAGAAGACCTTGGTTTTATCCCCATTGTCCTGTAGCAGCACCCAGAAGACCTGATCAGCAAGTGATGAGTGCTCTTCTAGAGCAGGCAGAAAATGTAAATTTAGCAAAGAGCACTTAGCAAATATAACTACAGGGTCCATGCTCTTAGGATTGCCTGATTTTCCCTTGCTGCAGAAAAATCCACATGAAAATGTAATCCTGAATTTATTCTGCAGCTGCATGGCAGGGAGGGGTGCGTGGCTGGCAGGGTCTAGGCTATCACCATCACACAGGTGGGATTCACCTGGATGTCAGGATGTGCAATCCCAAAGAAACTGCAAAATCAGGGTCGATTGGTCTTACCGGAATCCTGAGCCTCGAATCCTGATGGCTCCCTGTCCAATGCTGCTCTACCCTCTAAGCCAAGTTTTCTTCCCAGGTCCAGCCTGAGCCTCCCAAGCCATGACCTGGGGCTGTTTCCCCTCGTTCTCCTACCCACTGAGGAGCTCAGCTTCATCACCATGTCCTACCCCTGCAGGAAGCGGCGGGTGGCAATGAGATCCCTCCCTGAGCTCCTTGCCCGGCTGAACAAGCAATTTAATTTCTTTCCTTTGGTGTACCTTTCCCTCTCTCCCTTGCTTCAAACTGCCTTTGCCTAAAGCACTGTTCTTAAATTAATTATCAGGGAGCTTTATGCTGCAGAGGAGCAGCGTTTTGGCCCTCCACTGGGACTTGTGGCTTTTTCCTCTGCAGCCCGGGAGCGCAAATGCTCTGCCCCTGCCAGACCCGTGACTCACGCTCTACTGAGACACTCCCACAAGTTTTATACACAGAATTCCTTTTTTCCTTGCAGCTCTGCTGTTAAATGTTTAGATTTGCAGCTCCCTCCCAGCCATGCCTGCCTCCCAGGACAGCTGATATGTAATACCAACACGCTGCTGGCGTTGCTTCATTAAGGTGACACGCAATTAAAGGCAGGTTGAGGGACTCCAAGGGAGTCAGCACTGACCTTCATAGGAGCCAGCTGGATGGGAGTGATGCATGAGGGATCCACCATGGGCTTCGGCCGGTTGGCCGTGTCCGCCAGCAAACTGTGCCACTGCTGGGGCAGCCCCGTGAACTTCTGCTCCCGGTGGTCGAAGCCAGTGTGGACCCGGTGCTCGAAGTTGGAGGGCCCGGAAATTTCCAGCCTTTTCTTCTTTTTCCCGAACATGGTGGAAAGATCTGGAGAAGTCAGAGGGAAACAGGAGAGAAAAGGAAAGAAAAAAAAGACACATGTTTATACTGTTGTAACTCTCAGCCATTCTCTCTGCTTCACAGGGATTTTTAGCAGATGTCATTAGCTAACTACCTCCATAAACTTCACACACTGAGATCTGTGCGAGGCAAGCACTTATCTGACCTCCTTTCTGGAAGATTTTAATGAATTAACCCAGTCTCTTACCACATATGTTTATAATACCTTATGAAACAAGGAAATTCCCAGGAAAGAAAGCCCCAGGTCCTACTTTGTACTCCTCTCTGCTCATGCTGCAAGTTGCACTCCATGGAAGCTCCAAGCTCAGAGCAATGCCAGCAGCACTGGATGGCTTTGCTCCAAGGACAGCACTTGGAGTAAGTGGTGAGCTTTGCTCTGATACAAGGGGGAGCAAATACAGGCACAGCTTTGCATCCTAAATCTACACCCCAGATCCTGGAGCAAGGACAACCTATCCCAGATGAGAGCCTGGCTCTGCCGTGGTCAGATGTAGGTCTCACACAGCAGCACTCAAAGGGGAATTATTCTTGTGCCATTTTCAGCGATGAAAACAGAGAGCTCAGACCTAATTCTATCCTGGTCCAAGGGTCTTCATCTGCATTTGTGAAGGGTCCAGCTTAAAAGACGTATCAGGTATCAGCTATTACAAATATCATGGCCTGACTTCTTCAGGAGAGAAATGATTTGCCATGAGAGCCACATGCCCAAAGCACCTGGGTTTACACCAGCAGAGGTCCCTGGCTCCTGGCCAGCAGACTTCAGTGGGATTCATTCATTACATCACGGCCTGACTCCTTTTAAGGTCCAGGAAGGAGCATCAGCTCTTTGGGTTCCTGTGCAGGTGGTGTGGAGAAGAGAGAGGAGTCCTTCCAATCCTGTACAAGCAAGGAGCTGGAGGCTGTTGGAGGAAATGTGACCTTCCCAGCTTCTCCATCACTGGATGGACCTGGGTTGGCCTGGCTGCCTGGTAAAGCTAATTGTTACAGCTCTTGCCCTACAGAAAGTGAATGTTCACATCAATTTTTATTGTTATTTCCTGATAAGACTGAGTTGACTTGCTTTCCTCCTGTCTGTTTTGGCCTTCCTGAGGAATGTGGAGAACGCAGCAGGAGGGCTTCAGAGCACAGGCTAATAGATTAGCTGGGGCAAGAGAAGTTTCATTGGCAAGGTGGAAGGAGGTATGAGTGGCAGAATGAGAGGGATAAAGGTATTGCTCATTCTACTGGCACAGGAAATGGCCAATACACTCACAACCTGCATTAACCCTTGGGGTTGGTGGGTCCCCCCTTAAAACAAAGTACAGCCTAACAGCTCTATTGAACTGTTCAGAAGTTCAGAACTGACTTTCTGGAGGACTCCACAAATCTGCTGTGCAAGGCAAGGACAAATTCCTGGTCCCAGGAAAACAGACTGAGGTCCTGTTGCTTTTCAGTAAAATACTGTCCTGTGCTGAAAAAGTTCTCTGCCTTCTTTCTGCTGTCTTAAAATAGTCCTCCACCTTGCTGTCTGGGCTGTTTCAAGCACGGCTGGCTAAGCACTTGAGCAGCATCTGTCTGAAACAGCAGCAGGATGAGGAGGCTGGCAGCTGTGTAAAACCTCTTCTATCACAGCTGTAAAGGTGCTGCCCTGACTGATTCAGGAGGTGGAGAGGAGCTCGAAGAAGAAAATACAGTTGTGTTGTTGCTGCAGATAAAAAAAATATGGGGTCATAAATCAGGTATTTATTCCACCCTCATTACCTTTACTTGTCTATCTAAAGATCAAGTCCATTATTTGAAAATTGATTGCTGGCTGCATCCTAAGTCCCCCCCTGTGTATTTGTAGGTGATTGTCTCCTTTTTGCATATTTCTTTTAGACAGTGCAGACTTGCTCCTGTTGGCCTCTCTTCACAGGTCTCATCTTCCACACATCTCTATCTGGCTTTCTACCCTACGCTGAACTTCCCAAAATCTCCAGCTCTTTTGACAGTCTCTCTCCAGCACTGTTAACTTGGGTATCTTCCTTACCTTCCTCTCCCAAAACCTCCTATTAAATCACTTTGATATGTGGCTTTTCTCCGTTCTCAGCATCATAATTGTTTTGTTTTCCTTTGATGCATTTGGGTACCTTGTGGCACTCCCAGACATGTATTCAAAGCCATCATGGTTGGTGTCTGTTCAGAGGTTATCCATTTTCCAGGCTCAAAGAGAAGCAGCCAGAAGGTCAGGCAGTAGGTCCCAACCAGGGCTCATCCACAGGGCTTCACAAGTCGCAGCCAGCTGCAGATCAATGGCACTGCACTGATTTAATTTGCCCTCAGGGACGGGAATCCATGAGACTATTGGAGTAACATTTTAAACCATCAGCTCTAGACATGTATTTTTTCCTCTGATCAATGCCAGGGTTTCCCACAGGACTTGCATCTCAACGCAACTGCTGGATGCTTGAAGTCCTCCAGAGCTCTAAACAACATCAGATAACTAAAAGCACATCAGCTGGCACAGTGCACATTGCTTTTTAAAATGAACAGCATGTTTACTCAACAAGATACAAGCCAGCAAGTTACCTCCATTTCACTGCAAAGCCAAGCCAACCTCCCCTCAGCAAGGTCCCTCCACAGAACTGTAACATACATAGCCATCACAAAGAAACTTCATTTCCCTCACTTCTCACAAAGAATGGAAATGATGCTGCCTGTTTTCCTCAGCTGTCTGAGGATGAGGGTTTGGGGCAGCCAAGTCTGTGAAACCTTATGCTCTAGGCTTGTAAGTGTCCTGATTCAGTCCCCACTGATATGGTTGGTCTTCATACCTTGAAAAAGGAGAGATTATTTAATTTTTCCCATAGCTCTATTGATATGACACCAAAAAAAGTACTTATTTAATCAGGTGTGGAAGCAGAAAACATCCCTGGTAAGTGAATACATGTTCTCCAAGACTTCTAAAGCAGTGTTAGGAATAACCCAAGTGCTTTGAAGAGAAATGGCGGAGCTTTCCAGATAATGTGTGTGTAGCAGAAAACTTACAAAATTCGTATCAAGAACAAAAAATGTATGTAATTCATTCAGGCACCTACCCATTCACACAGAACAGCAATCCTCTCACAGTTATTAAGAACCCCTAATTTCCTAATGGGATTACTTTGGAAAACATCCCACAGCTAACAGGGCAGCCTTTATCAGAGGCACGGGGAGGTGGGAGGCTGCAGGGCAACTCTGCGGAGCTGCCTCTGTGCCATCCCCACACCAGAGCACTCACCCTTAACTTAATTCTTCCCGACAGCTTCCAACATAGCCCTGATTGTGCCAGGGCTCTCAGCAAATGCCACCTCTCCGTGCAGCTCCTCCTGTGCTCACCCCCACAGAAGGAGAGGAAATGAGAGGTATTGTACTTGTAATTCGTTGCTATTTTGGTGGGATGAGCACGACCAGGATGTCTGCCCTCCCCTTGCACGTGCTCCCCCAAAGGACAGTCTGGTCGATTCCAATGGCACATGGCACATGCGACACTTGACACAAGGGGGCTGGGGGAGCCTGTGATAACAACAGTTGATAGCAGTGGGCTTGGCTTTGGGGGAAAGGCAGGACTCATCACTGCAGTGCTTCAGCGGGGCATTTCTATGGGAAATCTTTACTCACTCTTATGCTGAAATGATGCAGCACATCAATTTTGTGCTTGTAAATGTGAGGTCTGGAGGAGGCAGTCCTTTAGTGGCAGCAAACAATGAATTCAGTAAGCAGAACAGCACGACACCTAAAGCAAGTCTGCTCTTAAATGGGAGAGCCAGGAGTTGAGCCTGTTCAGCTCCAGGCTGCCATGCCAAGGGCTTCTCAACCCACAGCCCAACTGAGGCACAAGAGTTAGAGATAACAGAGTTTCTTAACCAAAGCCATGATGGAAAAAATATGGACATGACACTTACTAAAGGAAAACACAGTACTGGGGGGAAAATCAGACTATTGCACCACCTCTTCTCCTGAGTAACCCGCAGCAGTGCTGGTCCCAGATGCGCCACCGGGGAATGGGGAAGGCACAGTGATAGCAGGAGAAATGTGTGAGCTGTGCTCTGTAGATAGTCACCCAAACCCTTCTATAATTGCAGTATTTGTCTTGTTCTTTGTCTCTGCCCGGGAAAGGAGCAGTGCCAGCTCTGCTGGTGCCCGCTGAGGAGCCGTAACACAGCTCCACCCGGCTTCTGCAGGCAGCAGGTAACGCTCAGAGGGTGCCATCAGGAGCAATCACTGCTTTTGCTCTCAGTGCTGTTTACTGTAGTGCCTAACAAATCGAATTACATGCTAATCAGCACACCCTGCCTGCTAGATCTATGCCAGACCTGGCTCCTTTGCATTGCACTCCTTTCTATGCACAGAAATAATTCACTGAGCATCACAGTGCCACGGGCTCCCAGGCTGGTCCAAATTTCAGCCATATTCCTTCAGGGACAGATCACATCCCCCCCAGAGGGAATTTCCTAAAGTGATGCCCATGCAAGGTGTGTGATGTGGACCAGCAAACAAATCCACTCTTGTCAGCTACTGCACTCTCATTGTGCTGCCTCCCAGTCACAGATGAAGGGGCTTTTCCAGCAAGAAGCATCCTCCAGCCCCACACTGGAGCAAGAGGGTGGCAGTACTATTCTGGATGCCAGGGGAGCCCATTCAGACTCTTCCATGGTGGTCTGTGCTCAGGACAGGATTTCCAGCCATGGCTTTCCCACAAAAAGTTAGAGCCCTGCCAGCTCACACCCTGTAGCTCACACAGATGTCACAGGTTTGCTCACTCTCAAAAGTTTGGTCCCATCCTGGGGTTTCCATGAATTGTCCCTCTCCTGCATGTGAGATCAGGGCACACTCCAGGATGGATGAACTGAAAAGCTGAAAGTCCAGATTTATGTTGCTGCCCTCAAAGAAAAAATTTTTGCATTTACAGCAAGTAAAATCCAAGGCAGTTGGAATAAAAATGAAAAAAAGGATTACTTCAATCCTAA